ATATTCATTTCAATATAAGATTCAAATTCAAGGTCAAGTCAGATTTGAGTTAGCAATTTTTTTTTCATTACTTTCAATCAACTTCTCATTCGTACCTTACCGTCAACTTAATGTTATATAGATGTTTACATGGTAACTAGAATTAAAGAGACTTAACGATCTACCAAAAGGATTTATTTAGATTTTAGATATATTTTTTTTAATTGCGAAATTTTAAATCAATCTACACGATTTGACTTCGCATTCAATGAAATACAAAACAATTATGTTTTATTGAATTAATTAATCAACGTTTCCTAACATAATAATAACTACAATAACAATTTTACACAAAACTACGGAAAAATTTCGTCTCCGTGATATTCTATATAAATATTAATAACAAGGGGGAAAAAAATGTATAAAATGTTCAATGCAAGACAAAATAAATGAATACCTATAAACTGAAACACTAGAGGCAATTAAAAAAAAAATATATATGCGAAAAAATAAACCATTAAATTGGTATCAGCTTTTCGTTGCTCACTCAAGCAAACCGAAAAGGTTTCGTTCAAATCACAACTTTAAAAACGACGCGAGTCAAGATCAGATACACGGAATGTCAGTCTGCGCCTCTAAAACAAGCAAGCAATTGTTTATAGGACGCTAATCACGAATAAACATGCAGAGAAATATAAAAAAAAAATAATAAACAAAATTTAAACATAGCACATCAGCAGAAATGTAACAGTTCTGTCAATGGATTGTGATTAGATGTACCCGTAAATCTGCCATTAGCGACTCATCAAAAAACAAATTGAAATGAAGGGATGCAAGGAAAGAAAAATAGTCAATTAAAAATTCTAGTCTAATTAAAGGGTATATTAAAACCAGGGGGATAGTATCCTTTTGTTGTTTCCTTGCCTTAGTCAAACTGGAAATCATTTTTAATCCAAAGTTGCACGCATTTGACTTCTCGACAATGGTTTGAAATTATTGATATCAATTCCTCGTGAAAGGAGTTCGGCTTCGGCATGTGGAGGTACAAGTTTGGGAATAAGTTCATGTCGAATAGACAATTCTGAAAAAAGGTTGAAAGTCAATCAAAAATCGCAACACCATAAGGTGAAAAGTTAATAATAATTAAAGTATAATGATAATTTAAAATAAATAATTTATAAAAATACCATCAAGTGTGTATTTTAAATTACAAAGAGGAAATTACAAGTCAACTGTGTAATTTTTTTAACCTATCCGAGGCGATATTCATCATATCCATTAAACCCCTTCTTAGCTCATCTCGCTTATTACCATTTGCAATTTTTTCCTCTAGGATGGGTACGATCTCTCTCCTCGTCCTACCGTTGACGAATATGACAAATTTGAATCCAAATTTTTCTTCGTACACCGCGTTTAACTCTTGTAATTTTTTATTTACATCCGCGTCACTGTTGGGCTTGATCGTCGATGAATCGGATTCATCATTCTTGTCGACTCCGGCATATCCTTGTTCTTGTAAACTCATCGCCGACAAATTATTTTTATTTTCACCTAAACGCGGATGTGCATTAATAACTTCAAGCTTTTGTTCTTCTGTTAGAGGACCATTTTCATCAAGGAGAATTTTAGTGGCAGTTGAGATTAACAATTCATGCGAGTCGAAAGGTCGTAGAGAGTAAAGAATGTTTGCGAGTGGAGGAGCAGGTTCAAACAAAACATTTATTGAAGATTTAAACGCGTCGTACTCTTGTGAATTTAATTCAGATATCACTGGTAAGGATGGCAACTCTGACATTCTAAAGTGTAAGTTCCCTCCAATGTAACAGTCTACGATGTACGACATTACACATTACACACTGATCTGGATCTGCGTGGTTACACCGATCGAAGGTATGAAAATTATAAAATTATCGTACGTATTCGATTTCTATCTTTTCCGCGATGGATGACGATAACTTAATTTTGAATCTCGTGTTCCAAGGTTCCCCTTCAGAAAATACGAGCATTCGGTCGAAAATAAAAGAAGTACGCGGAGGTTGGAAAGAAAAAAATAAAGTCCGCAAGTCTTTGAAAAAGAATGCCACGAATTCTCATAAAGTTGACGTTGTGAAAGCAGAGAACAAAGAATCAGAAAAGTTTAATGAAAAATCAAATTTTAACAAAAAGATACTTCCCGATAATAAACAGCGACAAAAGGGTGAAGAAAATTTGCGTCCTTCGAAGGAAGAATCAGGAACACTCGTCAAGAAACATGTCATATCGTCAATATTCACGTATAACCCCGAGATTATAGATGTTAAAAGGGATACCAACGCATTACAACAAGCTCACGATCAGCCTAGCAATGCGCCTGTGAAAGGTGCGTCAACCTTCGTTGGCATGGGGTTGGATCACGATCTGGTTTCTAATATGGAAGAAAAACTTGGTGTCGTGAATCCTACAAACATACAACGAAGAGCAATCCCCATCATTAACAACGATGGTGCCGACGTAGTAGTGCAAGCAGAAACCGGATCTGGAAAAACTTTAACATATTTACTTCCAATCGTTCATCGTTTAATGCGTGCCACAGCAGATGTTAAAGACGCATCCACAATTTCCCGATCTGTCGGAACTCTTGCCATCATATTGGCGCCAACACGAGAACTGACGAGGCAAATTCTTTCAGTTATAAATTCATTAGTCGACATACCGCCATCAAAACTTGGCACACGTCACCTGAAACATTGGATAGTTTCCGGATTGGTGGTGGGAGGCGAAAAGAGACAGTCCGAAAAGGCAAGACTTCGCAAAGGCGTGAACATTTTGGT